CATATATGTTGCCGCTGTGAACCCGATCCCCTCCTGCGCGAAGCCCGGCGCCGCATCCCCCGCCACCCACCCCACGCCCGCGCCCGCGGCGCACGCGCCCACCTCCCACTCCTGCGCAAAGAGGCCCATCAGCTGCGGCCCCGCGGGCGTGTGTTTAGATAGGTAACCCCGCATGGTCACGGCGCCCGTTTGGGCGGCATAGAGCTGGGGCGGCGGGGGTTCGATTGCGGGCGGCGCGGGCGCGGGCGCGGGCGCGCGCGGCGGGGGGGTGAGGGGTGAAGAGGGGGGTGTTACAGGCGCGCTCGCTGCGCCGGCGAGGGGGCTGCCGGCGCAGGGTCCGGCGGGCAGCCGCATGAAGCGCTGCAGCTGGGGCGGCGCGCGTACCCCGGCGGGTGCGCTCGCACGCGCGTGGGGGGCATTCGCAAGGTGCGGCGGCGCTCCGTGCGCCCCGCGCTCACCGCCTCCTGCAGCTGCGCGTTGATCGCCCGCTGCTCCTGCAGCTGCTGCTGCAGAGCCAGGACCTCGCCGGCGGCGGCGCCACCGGGGCCCGCGCCCCCGCCGGACGAGTGGAGCGCGGTCAGGCGCGCCACCGCGGCGGACAGCGCAGACATGTCACCCGACGCCCTCTGCGGGGGCAAGGGGGGTGGCGTGGCTTTCAAGGCCTGTATGTGGGGGTTTTGCTTGCGGCATGCGTGCGCATGGTGGAACGGCGTGGACGCTGCGCCACAGGGTGCGGCGCCAGGGCACTCCGTCGTCGGGCAGGAGTTCGAATGGCGCCCTTGCAGCTACAGGTCGCGTCGCACCGCATACCAAAAGAAACAAAACGACGATCGTGGTGTCCTTGCAAGGCTCGCACTGCCTCCCACCGTGCGGTGAGAGGCACGCACCTGGCGCTGCGCCAAGACAATCTGTATCACCCTGTTCGCTCGACAGCGTCAGCAAAGCCAATCAATTGTTATTCGACGTTGAACTTGTGGGTTTCTCAGATCATGCAGAGGCCTGGACTTCGAAAGTGCACATGCAGCGCGCCGTGCTGGTCAATGCAACATGGTACGATCGATTCGAATGCAAATGTCGTGGCCGAACAGCCCAAGGCAGTGGGTGGCACGCTGGACCGCCACCAGGCCTGCAGAGCGCCCTTCATTGCAACTGCCCCACCCGGCAATTGCCACTCCACCACCTACCAAGTGGGGACAGCTGCTCAACTGTGCCTAGATTGTGACTGTATTTCACATGATGTATGTTGGACCTACGCAGCTGTGCGGTAGCAGTACCTGTGAACACAGCACCTGCACAACCGCACCCCAAAATTGCTCGGGCCTCGTCACCCGAAACGCCACCAGCCGCGTCCGGCCGCAATCCTGCCGGCTGGCTTTTCTGAGATATGCGTGAGGATGCAGTGTTTACAAGGTTCAACATCGATCCCAAAAGGTTTTCCCCACGGCTCACGCAAATGATGGTGGCTCTACAAATGCTTCAACAGGCGTCGAGGTGTGTGTGGGGGGTGGGTGCGTGCGTGCGCGTGTTTGTGTGCGCGGTGCGTGTGTGCAGCTGGAGGCGTTGATTGGTGCTTGCAAATGCTTGTGTGTGATGGCTGCGGGCCCCTGGATGAAGCCAAGACCCGCCGCCCCGGCTTGTGTGTGGGCGCGCCGCCGCCGCCGCCGGCCCGCTTATCTCGCCAGGGGGCGGCGGCCGCGGCGCACGGGCAGTGAAAGAAACCCCGATTCCCAACAGTGACGTGTTCGGGCCGCGTGCAAGGCACGTTCGGCGTGTTTTGAGGCGCCTGTGAACGAGGGCCGCGGCGCCCGGGCAGGCCCCCGACCGCTTGCCTCGCCCGACCGCGCGCATTAATGACGACGCGCCTGCATGCATGCATTGATTGACGAGGCGCTGCATGTGAGACTGAGGGCATGACACACGCCTTGCTTCGGTTTGAGAGAGGCGGTGCGTGTTTTGAGCCCGCCGGAAGAGCGCGCCTGCGCCCATGCTTCCTGCCGCCCCTGCCCTCCACTGGGGCCGTCCAGAGACGCCCCCCCTGGCAGCTCCCTCCTCCGCAGTTTATGTTTCGGTGCCGGGACGCACTCGTGCGCGCACGCCCCGGCGCAGCGCCGCCCCGCGCGCGCTGTCCCCCACGCCTGCGCGCCTCTGTGGCCGCTGGGGCAGCCGGGATAGCGGGGGCAAAAACAGCCGGCCCTCTCAACAGGGGCGATGACAGGGGTGGGGCGCGGTGTGGGTGAGTGAGTGCTCAATCGCCTGCCGCCGGCTCTCGCTGCGCGGCGCAGTTTGGCCGTCGCGGTGTGTGTCTGCAGGGCAACGCTAACGGGCGAGAAATAAAGCAATGGCGGCGGGCCCCCTCCCGCGAGCCCCTTCCCGCCTTGAAGCGGGTGCAGCGCGCGGGGAGTGGGGGCGCCCCTACAACTGGGGGCCGCCGCCGGGGCACAAGCGCGCGCGCAAGCCGGCCAGCGTGCGCGGCGGGCGGCCTGGCGGCTCCGGAGCCGAGAAAGCAACAGCATCGCATCTTCCCAAACGCTGGGCACACCGTTTTCGGTCGCGGAGCGGCGCGGGCGGCGCGTGCGCAAGCACACACGACACCGCCCGAGAGACGGGGAGGACGCGAGTGCAGGGGTCAGGCGCACGCTCCATCGAGGCGGCGGCGCGCATCGCGTGTTTACGGCAATCCTGGGACCTGTGCGCCGCGTTCATGGCCCTGCCCGCGCGCTGGAGCGCGCGTGCGAGGGGTTGGGCGCTCAAAGACAAAGGCACATCCAAATGGGCCCGACGCGCACCGGGCGGCGCCCCGCGAGTCATGGGGGCGCGCCCGCGTGTGCGCGAATGGCCAGAGGGGCGCACAAATGTGAGTGGTGCGAGCGCGGCGCCGGCGCGAGGGAAGGCAAGGTGCAGGCTCCGACGTGACTTTGAAAGGGCGCGATTTATCAGGTGTGATTGTCTGATCAACATGGGAAAAGACGCTCCCGCGACCGTGCCGCATTGGATGAGGCCCGCCGCGCGAGCACGCGCGGCGGGACGCGGCCGCCCGGGGCGAGATGCGCGCCTCGGTCGTGCGCTGCGCCGCCGCCGGGCCGCCCGTTTCTGGTCGGGGGCCCCGGGGGCCAGGGCGCCGAGATTCCATCCCGTCTCGATCCGCGCCGCGCCGGCGCATCGGGCTGCTTCACGCGCGAGGGGGCTCGGCCGCGCGGCCCCATTTCATCCCCCGCTCCCCTGTTTCCCAATTAAAGGCCCCTGTCAGTCCCATGTGCTCTGTGAGTCCCTATAAACATCCCTTCAGAGGCCGCGCCCGCGTCCAAGCAAGCGGCGGCCCAGCCAGGCTGCGTGCGCGCGCGCCGCGGCCGCGGCACGACGGCGGCGCCGGCATTCGTCGTTGTAGTGGCACACAGGGCTGCGCGGAGCGGCGACTCGCCCCGCCGCCGGCGCGGCCCCCAGGCGGCGCCCCGCGCGCAGGCTTGTTGTTTGTTGTAAAGACGGCGCTCGCACGTGGCGGGGTTCACCAGCCCCGCCATGCGCGCCGCCGCATGCAGTGCTGGTTCAGTTCACGTTTTTGGAAAGATAGACGCCGTCTGCAAATTGCTGCAAAAGCGGCCGCGCGGCCGCTAGCGGGCGGCGGCCGCGCGCGAGCGTGCAACCAAAGTCTCTCGGATCACTGGCAGGCCGCGGCAAGGCGGGCAGCGGCGCGCGAGGCCACGCCAGCAGCGGACGGCGGCACCGCCACCGCTGCGCTCACGCCCGCGCGCCAAAGCTGCCATTGCTGCTGGTGCTGGCGGCGCCGCCGTCGGCCGCGCGCAGCCGCGTGAGCAGCGTGCTCGCTGAATGCAGCTGCGGCGGCGTCCCTGAGATCACCAGGAACAGCCGCTGCTGCGGCGGCTGCGGCTGCCCGTCTGGGGCCGGGGCCTCTATCGTGCCGCTTTCTATGGAAAGGGACGCCCCAGTCAGGAGCTCCAGCGTCGGCACGTGCGCAGAAATGTTTGGAAAGTCCGCGTCTGAGATGGGCAGAATCATCTGCTGGGCGCGCGCCGCCGGCTGGCCGACGGGCGCCGCCGGCGCGGCCAGCAGCTGCTGCTGTGACGGCGGCGGCGGCGGCGGCGGCGCGAGCAACGGCGGCTGCGGCGGGTGCACGTATGGGTACACGTACTGCACTTGCGCCTGCTGCTGCTGCTGCTGCTGCTGCTGCTGCTGCAGGACCAGCAGCTGGAGCTGCTGCTGCTGCTGCTGCAGCGCCTGCTGCGCGGCCGCCGCGTCGCGCCGCTCGGCCTCGACCGGCCCGAGGAACGGGCCGTGGCAGGCCGACAGAGAAGCGGAGGGGCGCGCACGGCTAAGGGCGCCCCACATGATGGGTTCAGGGGCCAGCAGGGAGCTCTGCGGGGCAGGGGGAGGGGAGGCATGGGGCCGAGGGCGCAGGGTCAGATGGCAGGCGGGAACGGCTGGCGCCCAGCTGGCGGGGATCGGAGACATTTTCGGGATGAAGTAAACGCGAGCGTGCAAATGGCGCTCCGTCCTCGGCCGCAGGCGGCGCCCACCTGCGCAGCTAGCGTTGGGGCGAGCGCCTCGACGGGCGCGTACTCAACGGGCGCGTACTCGACGGGCGCGCCGGCAAACGCCGCGGCGTCGCACACCGCCTCCGTCACTTGAAAGGCCGGCGCGGGCGCGGGCGCATAATCATACTTGAGCCCGCCGCCCGAGGCGAAGCCGGCAGAGTGGTACAGCCCGTTTGCGGGCCCGCGCCCCCCGCCAGGAAGCAGTGGCGCCGAGACGCGCTCGCCGGCCGCCGCCGCCGCCGCGCGGCGTTGCTGCGCGTGCTGCGCGTGCTGTGCGGCGAGCAGCGAGTCGCGGCGGAGCTCGGGCAGAGGCTCGCTGTAGGCGCGGGACGCCGGGCCGCTGTCCGCGTACATGGGGACAAAGTAGAGCGGCTGCTGCTGGCGCGGCGGCGCGGCGACGAGGCCGTGGGCGCCGCCGGCGTGCAGCAGCGGCGCGCGCTGATGCGCCGACGCGTGCAGCTGCGGCAGCGGGCCCGACAGCGGCCCTGACGTGCGCTGGTGCGCGC